CCTTCTTTTAGACACCTCTTCTCTGAAGGACAACTGCTAGAAAAATGTTTCTTGGATGACATGCAATTGAAGCAAATAGACTGGTCCTTTACAAATTGTCGTCTGTTAGAAATGCTCTTCTCTTTGAATTTGTTACAGCGCATCAGAATGTGATCGCCTTTACAAAGATAGCAAAACAAAGCAGATTTGCCATTCTTGCCAGAGTTATTAGTTTTGTTGTAATTTTGTTTGAAGTTAGGTTCCGATTTTGGCGTACTTAAAGTGGTAAATGTAGAAAACTTCGATGGACGCTTGTTAATGTATCCTTTATGACCAGATGATTTTGTCGCCAATTCTGCCAGAGTGCGACCATAAAATGTGTTGTACAAACGAGCTCTAGACTCAATGAATTTCAGCAAATGAATGACGGGATTGTGAATGAAGTCCATGTGCCATTCATGACATAGTCAGTACGCATATTAGGAGGTAACCGTTCAAAGATAGCAACCAGATATGCTGGGGCATCAAGTAAATTCCCTGCATTCCAATTGTCAAACACAATAGAACAGTTACGCATCTGTGATGATAATCTGCAAAGTCCTTTGACGTCATTTACACGAATTTTCGGTCCTTCAGTAAGTTGCTTTATAAATGTGCTGATGATCAGTGATCGATTGCCAAAATGAAATTCTAAAGTGTCCTTAGCTGCATGAAATGCTTGTGCTGGGTCATCAGCCATTCGCAAGTGCTTAATTACTTCATATGCCTCACCTTTGCAGTGAGCAAACAATTGTGCCAACAATGTAGAAGGATCAGATGTGAGACGTCCAATTGTATTATAGAAAGATCTTATAAATGCATGATACTCTAATGGATCACCAGCAAATTCTACTTTATCCAATGCTGGCAAGCGGAATTCTTGTTGAATATTTCTTCCCAGAAGGTACAAATCATCTTTGCTGGCAGCTTGATGATGGATAACGTTAGGGGAAGGTAAGGAAGGTTGTCTCATAACGGTAGGGTGAGGTAATTGTGAGCTTGACATATAAGGAGGTATGAAAGATGGAATTGTGGCAGTATTTGTGCACAAGGCATTTGAAATGGTAGGATGAGGAAAGTATGGTCCTACAGGTCTTGTTAAGGGAGGTAACACTGATGTTATCTGCTGAGATGAGTTTGTATAAACAGGGCCTGGAGGCAAACTACTAACAGTGGTAATAGTATTTGGCCCAGCCTGTGGAAAACTACTACAAAGTGTTGAAAAATAAGCACTAGTATGGGCCTGCGATACAACAGGCATAGTTACATTAACATGAGAAAATATGTCTGGCCTATTGTAATCAAAAGACATAGTATCAGCTGGCGCAATAAGCCGCTGTGGGACAGAAATTATAGGTTGTGAATACACCGGCCCCGTAAACCTATCAGGGACAGTAATAACAGCTGTGCTAATCACAGGGGTAGGTATAATGGCAGAATTATTGTCAACAAAATTAGGTGCACTGTATGGCAACTGTGAAATATTTGCATTAGAAAATTGGTTAGACTCTACAACACTGCATGGGGTTGAAGACTGAACTGCATTAACAGTAGATAAAGGATAATACGATGGTTGTAAAACATTAAAAGACGAATTCGAATAAGAACGTATACCTGCATTTTCCAAATTATTGTTAGACAAAAGTGGAACTGAACTAGGTCTCTGACTCACTTCAGTTGAGTGGCTAAATTTGACATCCTGTGCTGAAATGACGGTGTCAACATCCAAAATTGACTTGGAGGTAGAAGAGTCTCTGTCACTTGACAGTTCATCAAGCAGTTGAGCTTGTTGTTCTTTAAACTTTGCTTTCATCTCTGCTAATCTTTGCTTTTGCGCCGCTAGTTCTCTTTCTTGTAATGCTTCAAGTTTTAACATTCTTGATTTCTCCAGTCTTCTATAAGATGATGAAGAAGATTTAGATTTCGACGAATGAGATATTGACCGTTTAGAAATGTAACTGATGTCGGCTTCTTTAACACAGGAGTCCAAATATTGGCGATAAATCATGTCGCATGATTTCAATTTATCCATAACCTGAGTCAGGTGTAATTTTGCCACATGTTGATCAAGTCCATTATTCAAAATATAATTCTCCAAATAAATTTTCCAACTGTTCAGATGATCGCATACTTTCTGATAATGTAAAGTAACACTTTGTTGATTTTGCTTATCCAGAATAAGTTGTGCAAAAATGTTATTCAAATCCGTAAAAGTTTGTCCATAATGGTCATTTGCTTGACGTAGATGATCATCCTTTATTGTTTGACCCAATGAAAATTGTCGAGCTTGAACTGCAGGAATGGTGATGTCACCAGACGATTCATCAACAATATCTTTAGAAACATTTGAAGCCATTGTTGAGAATAGTAGTCAGATGTTCTTCAAAGTCGGTCAATCGAATATTAGTTTTATTTCAATGTAAAGTTGGAACGTGAATTCCAATCCACTCAACGTTGTTGTAGTGGAGTCCTATTTGCACCCGCACCCGCCTTGAAGAATTATGCGCAATCTCCCAGCTTCTAGTAACTGCACAACCAAAGTAAAGAGGCAACGAGATCCTTAGAAAACGAACTGTATTCATCAATCTCCACATATGAGTAAAATGTTGCTACAGCACAGAAACTTGAAGACCAACGATAAAACTAATTTATAACGACACGGATGCACTATAAACAACCAATGAAAGAATGACAAAATAACATTCACAATGACAAGCAATAATAACCAATAATAAATAGGACCTTACTGAGCTAAATTAATATAACCGATTTTCACGAAACCCGCACTCCTAATGTAAACTATATCCAAGACAAATCTCAATACTAAACGACACTTTTGCAATCCCACAGTGCCGTATAGAACAAAAAGTCAGAAAGCGTTATCTCAAAACCCGGGGAAAAGTTTCACTCCCTATTTCTTCACTATGGCGCAATAATGAGTCACCGTCAACAGGAAATCAAGATAATAAAGATAGAAAATAATTCGTCTGGGATTGTTAATATAATGGAGAAATATAAATGGACAAAAGTGTGAGGCGTGCGAGGTCAAATCTAACAATATGATTAGACACGGGTCGCACTGGGATGATTACATTTTGTTTATAACATTTCGTTCTTTGTTATTCTACAATTATGTTTCCCCGATGTCCTTATTTTTGGGTTCCTATCGAAGGCAGGCCTGAGGTCACCCACCCTTCGATTGTCCTGCGTGGTTTGCAGTTTTGAATTCCGTGGAGGATAACAAGTGAGGAGCTGAAAAAATCGTCCGCGGAAGCTTCCAGACATTTTTGTCTGGCCTAAGATAAAACCGAAGAGCTATACATTAAAATTTCAGAAAATATCTGAAATGGTTCCATTACATTTGAACCCACGTACATTTGAACCCATGACAATTGCACCTGCATAACTATTGCACCTATGGAAATTTTTTTGTTTGTAACCCATGGGTTTCAGCACCCGCATATTGATTGAACCCGCGGATATAGAAATGGGTTCAAATGTACGTGGGTTCAAATGTACGGTCACCATCTGAAATATGTCTATGTAAAATGACAACTATATATATTTATAGCTTTTAAATACAAACCCTAATCAAAAATAACTTGTAATGTTCTTATTAATATTCACAATAAGCATGAGAAATGTTATATTGGTGAGGTACAGAGAGAAGTTCCTTGAGTTCAAAGGTGGGGAAACATCGATCACACGTTAAGGCTGTAATAAATATTTTTCAGCTGCGATGTAAAAATAATACGACGTTACAAAACATGCTGCGCTCCGGAAGTATTCGTAACAAGATGACGCACAACCTGTAAATCTCAAACATGGTACACATACTATAGTCAGGTGTGCGCCATCTTGGTACGAATACTTTGGGAGCAAATACAGTTAATAACTAAGTTTACCAGAGAAGCTAAACTTTTATTAACATAATTTTATATCAACAACGGGAACGCAAACGCAATGATAAGATTTAACAACAGGCATTGCGCTCCGGCTACAGATCACCTGTGTTTACTGTAACCAACGCTATATGGAGCGCTGAATCCCACTGAAGTGCCTGCACTGTTTCCCCGCCCATAATCTGAGAGGAGTAGCCAGAAATTTTCGAATGAGGGGTTCCGTAATTTATTTAGCCAGGTATTTGGTTCAAATGCATGGACTTGATTGTGGTGAGAGTTCTAAAGAACCAGCGGTTAGGTGAACCATCTGTAGGGCGGTAATAAGTCCAGGTATCCTATCGCACATAATTACCCCACACGCGATCCGAACCTGCCAAAGAGAATCAGAGGTGCGGCGGCAAACGTATTTCTAACGCCTAGCACGGTGCGCCTCAAGGCCGAAACATCAAATTTTTTCGTAATTCCTGTGCACAACGAGCGAGTTTCTACGCCGCCAATAACTCCCACACAAGGATCTTCCAGACTGAGTCCTCGTCATTCCAAAGCAGTTTTCTCGAGGCCACGAGCAAAGGACTCGGTTGGCATCTTACAATCTGTGATGACAACATTAATTTAAAGCGAATTGTCCGCAATTTGTTCATTTCTTTGATTCGAATGCATTTATTTTATTGCTCCAGATTGTTGGCGTTTTATTTATAAACACAAGGAATGAAACAAATGATCGACACGCATGAATTTGGCAACATCTGTCAAGCATTTGGTGCTGGTTTACCTTATTTCGCACAGAATGGGCCTCAGCTGTATCTGAAAAATTTGCTATTGTGGCTTGAAAATGCTCGTTACGTTCTTGACGGTTTTTCACTGCTTTTGAAGGTAATTCCGTTGCAACAAGAGAGCTTTTACGCCGCCTAGAACTCCAAGGACCAGGTTTTTTCGAAGTGGGCCTCGTCTTTCCAAAGGCAATTTTTTGAGGTCACGAGCAAACGGCTTCAGCTCATTTGTACCTGAAACTTATAAGGTTTGTCAATGTAGCTTGGAAATGCTCGTTACGACCCCCTTTTTCCCATAAATTCAAAATAATTGTGTTTTAAAGAATTTTATTTCAGAGGATAAATAAGTCAAATGAGGTGAAACATAGCAGATTGCGTTTCGGGGAATCCTTTCATACTTTAGGCCGAGGAGTCGGAGATAATTTGCAATTGACTAGGACTCCACAGTTATATTCAGGCATAGTCCTGACATTGGGTTAAGAAAAATTTCAGCTTCTGGATAAAAAAAATTTTGGCTTCAACTACGGCAGTTTGAGAATACGACTCCGGCTCCAGTGAAAACACGACAAACCCTGGCCGTGACTCGTAAGTCCAGATGAAGAATCTCACTTAGATGTCTCACTGTTGTAAAGGTGTTTATAAAGTACTGCCATGCCTGTTTTTGATGTAGATTCTGTAGAGGTATCTTAATTTTTTTTGAAGCCAATACTAACTTCAACTAAAATCTTTAAACAAAGAGGTGGTTGTATACACCACTTTTTCAAACAAAAAATACTCTCACTCAATCTAGAGAAAAATTGAAAAAGAAATCCCAGACAGAGGTTTGGCATTGATGAAATGGAAAGCAAAAGTATACAAGCTTGTACATAAGAATATATAAAACACTTGAGTAGATAGCGCCAGAGAGTAAAATTTGATCTACATTCAATTTTTTAACCACATGGTGGCATAAGACTGTTTGAGTTTGAGTAACCATGGTAGTAACAAAAAATGATAACCCGCAAGCACCAGTGACCCCACTCTGAAATTTCCTACGATTCCATGGTGCTCCTGTTAAGTATTCATATCAAGATGGCGCACAACCTGAACATAGTATGTCTACCAGGTTATAGGACTGTTCAGGTTGTGCGCCATCTTGGTACAAATACTTCCGGAGCGAATTCCACATGTATTTGTACATTAGCATTTTTGAGGCAAACTTCTTAGCAACCACAAATTAATCTCATAACTCCAGTCTTGTGCCACCTAATGGCCCGGGAAGTTTGTGGTTTTAAACTTCTGTGGGTGAAAAGTCTGTAAACCACATGAGGCTAACATATACCAACAATAAAAGAGAGACATTGAACAGAATATAAGTCATAGATGGATGGTCGTGGGCATCTTCGTCTATTTTGGCAATCTGAGAAATTGGTATTAGTCTGGAAATAAAATAGTTTTTTTTTTCAAATCAGCTGAGTGAACTACTTCATTTGGAGCAAAATTTGACAGATGTAAAATGATGTTTAAGTCATTCCAATTTAAAAGGGTAAATTGATACGAATATATAGAGTGTACATAAAGTCTCATTTTAATTTTGATATGAAGTTACTTCTCAATACTTTAACCAGGTTTGTTTATTTTAATCAGAGGCCAAGTTACTTCATTTAATGCACCTGAAAGGGCCAACAAACGTAATAATGAACACCTTAGATAATCTTGAGGTCAAAGATCTATATCAAAATTTTGGTACTGCTGAAGTATGGGCACCAAGATGTCGCACAACCTGAACCTTATACACAACCTGAGTTCAGGTTTTGCGCCATCTTGGTGCACATACGTCAGGAGGTCCAAAATTTTTGGTATAATTTGCCAGAACCTGGGATAACATTTGAGATATTCAAATGGATTATCTTGTACAGGTATAAAAAGGACGATATTACCATATATTAGGGATATCCATATACAATATTTTGGTGTGAAGGTACATACCCTTGAAAATCCATCTATGGACTTAATACAAGCTAGCTGTGTATCTTATTTTAAAGTACATTTGCTGTCAAAAAATAAAAAAAATAAGCAGATGGATTCGAGTAATAAAAGTATAATAACAAAAGAACTTCACGAAAAATAAATGAAAAGGTAGAAAGGTATACTGTGCAATAATAATACGATAATGAAGGTACGTCTAGCACAGGGCTGGTACCCCAGATACCTTTTTTATGCCAGTTGTTCTCAACCGGAGGGGCGCGCCCCACAAGAGGGGCGTAAACAACTTCCCTGTATTTTCTGAACAAAACATAATTTCGCCTTACTGTCTGTTATTTGCAGTTTATTGTTAGTTAGATATTTTTGATGTGGGGCGCGAGACTTGACAAATTCTAAACTAAAAAGGTGGCACGGCTTAAATAGTTTAAGAACCACCGTTTTATGCCGTATAACTGTTGTTTAGGGACATTTCGCATGGGTAATCTTCAATCATATTGTGATAGAACGAGGAAAATTCGAAATTTTACTTTTTCTTATGTAAGTAGCTATTTTCATGGATTTTGCATGTGTTATATTGAATTGTAATAAAAACCATTATAAAGGAAATCTATGAAAATTTGAGTTTCGAATTGGTATATTCATGAACATCACTTCCGAAATGACAGAAATTTGTTTCTAAGCGAGACTTGGACTAGATAAGTCAATATGATCAAAAACAGAATCCATTTAGTAAACGTGTCTAAAACGCAGGCAAGAAAAGTTTTGGAAGCCCTGTGCTAGCTCAGATTCAGATGTTTCAGGAATATCTTGGCAAATAAACAAACATAGGCGCTCCAGAAGTGTGTGTACCAATATGGAGGTAACTAATTTTGTTCGCCTACTTTACATCAAGTTGTATAAAGGGATTGACGCCTATGGGCAGGGGGTACATTCACTTGGCTAACACAAAAGTCCTCGAACTCGTAATAGAACTATAATATAGAAAATCAGAAGAAATTTATGCCCTGACCTGGTACACACACTACGGGAGTACCCGAACACAAGTAAGGGAACAACATTCGCATGATGAAAAATTGTGAACTATCAATCGTGGGTAAGCAGGATTCCAGAACTTTGCTGGAGTGAGTGTTAGAACTTTACTATGAATTAAATGGAAAATATTGATCAAACCAAATGAGAAAACCCAAAAATAATACAAACTAGAATATCAGTTAGAAACCGAAGACTTGTCGATCGAAGGTTAGGGGATCCCCCACAACAGTGGCCTCACTCCATAGTGACACCGTGTGTCCTGTCACTAATTAATTAATAACTCGCTAATTATAGGACATAATCCATCCAAAATCAATAGGCTTCTGATCCCAGCTATGATGAATGCACATGCAAAATCTGGAGCATATTCAATCTCGCTTTCGTGAGATATCGCGTACATCTAACACACAGACAGACACATACCTATCAACATTCTTACCGATCTTTCTGACCATCAGATGTCGAATCACAAAAATAATTTTCAACTGAAACTCACAAAAAGCAGGAGCAAAGATGTTTTCAAAGGTCGGCAAGTCTGAACTCGAAATAACCAGATATCTCGAGGCTGGAGCAACACATCACTGAAAATTATTGATCAAATCGAAGGAGGAAAAGCCCAAGAATAACATAAACCACTCCTTCAAGTTCTACCATTTGGGTAACACATGCCAATAATGTGAAATTTACAATTATAATAGCTACAAAAATTTTGGTATTTGCTCATTTGTGGGTATGGCCAAAATTGAATATTTACAATTCGAAACACTCTGAAATTCAAGACATTTTAATAGATTAAAATATTCAAAACTGCTCATATTTTTGATTGAAACTCCATTTTTTTGTCGCATTGTCTGACCATCAGAAGTTAAATCCTAAATTTTTTTCTAATCGAAACTCACAAAAAGTAGATGTTTGGCAAAGATGTTTTTATCTGGCGAGTTGGTGCTACAGTACTCTAAAACAGGGGTGTGCAACCTTAAATACAAGAGTGCCAGATACAAATAACTGGATAAAATCGCTGGCCGCACTTATATTTAACATCTAGTAGTTGCAGGCACAAAAATTTTGAGTATTGATTTTATGACATGCATTGTTCGCTTCGCACAAGCTAGCTATTTCGGCATTGTAACGTCATTCGCACTTCTACGGGGCCCCACCATTTTCCCTTGTGGGCCTTATTTGGCCCGCAGGTTGCACACCCCTGCTCTAAAATGAACCCAGCAGAACTCAGAATGCCGAGATAACTTGAGGTTGGAGCAGACAACTTTTACCACATCACTGGAAGAAAATCCCGCATTTCACCAACATCCACTTCCCATATAGAGAATGTAGCATTTCGAAAAAACAATATAATCCCCAAAAATTATTCCTAATAAATATTATTCCCACGCATTTAAAATAAGTGTTCCCTTAAATTGTCTAAAGTGTTCCCTTCAGGTGTTATCAACTCAAACTTTGTTCATCTTTATCTTCAACTTTTTCAAAATCGTCGGGTTGTTTTCTTAGTGAGGCAAGATCGTTTGGCTTGTCCTTTCTAGAAACGAAGTGATGATAAATGTTATGGACTCTTATTTATCATCAGGCTTTGTTTAAGTTTGAATAAGATTGGAATTAACATGATTATCTTGGGAGAAAGAAAAGCCGATGGGACAGCTTAATCATATGGCGAACCACGACTTCTCGTCCGGTTACCAGTCCATGCCGGATATGGGATTAGTTTATCCGTTATTTGTTTTCTGAAGCATAGACTTGATGGTGGAGGAAGCCATAACAGACCAGCGATTACGTGAACCACCCTACAGCGGCAAGGAGTCCAGCAATCCTATCACACACATAATCCACCCGCATGGGATTCAAACCTGCGAACCCACGCAGGGTAATCAGAGCTGCAGTGATGAGCGTATTCCTGACACTTAGCATTATGCGCCATATTGCAGAGTCTGCCATTGAGTGTAAAACGATTGCTGGACTGCTTTATCAAATTTTGGGATTACATATATCACTGGCCAATAGTATCTGGTATCAGTGATTTCCAAGACAAACGTTCAATACATAAGAGATTGTTGTATTGCCACAAAAGTTTCTTGAAATCTCACATATTCCGGTCTCGCTAGCTGGTAAGGTCTAACTTGGCCTCCCTTAGAGGATTTCTGGTTATGCCCCTGCTCAAAATGACACATTTTTAAACTAAAACATTAAAAAATACTTCTGAAAATCAATAATTTTCTATATTGCATTTCAACAGTTTAAATATCAATGTTTTAAACCTCTTGGTATACTTGGTGAATTCTTGTAAAATAAAACGATCAGAAAGATGATCAAATTGCCACTGTGAGGCGCCATAGAGCTATTTTAGAAGACAAATCAATCTTACTTGAAAAAACCTTCCACCATTGGATAAATTAGTTTAATTGCTTCGGATATTCGAGCGACAACAGGGCAGGTCAGAGTGATCGAACCGGTAGAAAATATTTTGAAGGTAACTTTCATATCTGGCATCCTATAAGTCACTGCAGGATGAATCTCAGGCTCATAACTGAAAAGTAAGAGAAAGACATTTATAGTTTCGCCAACCAGAAAACAAGCAACGGTACAAAAATAAACAAGTTAGTTCGGTATAGACTGGGGGTAGCGATACAATTTAGGTCTTTATTATAAAAGCAATATAAATAGCAAAAAGTAGTTTATAGTTAATTGCAAGCGCTAAACTATTGGAATAGCTGAGGCACTAACATGAAAGTTATTAGGCCAGGGCTGGGGAGCTGGAGTCAGGAGCTTAGAGTAGCTGTGACATTGATGGAGGCGAAGCTAAGCTTACCATGTTATTGCTACCAGAAATTTTGATGGCTCCAGCTCCGAACTAATTATTTTTTATTATTTATATTATCATCTAAATCAGGGGTGTGCAACCTTTTTTACTGGCGGGCCAAATTCAAGTAACTGGGTGAAGCGACGGGCCGCACCTTTATTTAATATAGACTTTCTTGTAATTACCGGTACAAAAATTGTTTATTTTTGCTAGTTATCTTACGGCATTATTAGGGTTTCTTGCAGAAATAGTGAGTTGAACGCAAACTTCTGGAGAAACGACTATTTATGATTTTATCGCCACACAGACTTCAATCCAATTTAGTGAGAAACAACTTTTTGTAATATATATTGTATATTTTGCAACAGAATTGCTAGCTAGTTTGCCAATATGACAGTGGCACTCAGGTACTGGTATAGGCTATGTGGCGCAGAAGGATTAGAATTGCTTGCACGCACCAGTTAACCTAAACTAAATACTCGTTCCGTGGGCCCACCTTTTAAAATTGTTATTTCTCCGCGGGTTGCACAAATTTTTCTCGCGGGCAGCAGTTTGTGGCCGCAGCCCACAATTTTTTTTTATAAATTTCAATTCATAATATTACTTTAAAATCTCAAGTTGAAGTTGGAGTAAGTTGTGAATGACATGAACCACCCTAAAATATTGGTGAATATTTAATACAAAGCCATTTTGGAAGTGAACGAAACGATAATATTGAATAATAAAACTTACTTATCAGCACTTGAAAAACATAATTTATCTACCAAAATTATGAAACTAATTTTTGAATAGCGCCTATTACAAATTCCATTTACATAAAAATCTTAAAGCAACTCTAAATGATAAAAAACTTTTACCTCAAATGTTTTGATCGATGAAAATTAGAAAAATCAACAATATTAATATGGTACGGCATTTTACAAACAGCAAGAACGTTGATCACTTTGAAATTTGAAAATATCACCTGAAAAGAAAAACAACTTGTATCCGATTCACAATAAATAACAAATAATGGTGGGAGGAAAATAAAAGTGACATTTTTGTCATCAACTTTAAATTAAGCTGCTCTAGAGCAAGCCTGCACAACATACGGCCCGCATGCGGCCCGCTAGATACTTCTGTGCGGCCCGCAGGTGATTTGGAAACACGCCAATTCTCGGGTCTAACAATCAAAGAAGTCAGCATTGTTATGCAAGCGAGCCGCTACTCCGATCATATTCGAAATCGTAAGATTTAGGTTTTGCACTAGTTTCAATAAATATCAAACTTTGTGTGAAATTGGTGTGATCTTCGCAACCTCTAAAATTCGTCGCTCGACCCCTCGCCCCCCAGTTTGGGAAACCTTGATTTAGATATCTCAGTATTCAGACTGAATCATGCTTAAAATAATATCGGTATACAATCTTACACCCATTAATGCATATTAGCAACCTATTAATAATTTATTAATTTACATTATTTTTTACTAGCAGTTTATGAAACTGAAATTCTCGCACAAAAGATTTTGCTATTTACTGTAAAATTTCGAATAAATTAGAGCAGATTTTGTAGAAAAATGTAATTTAACAGACAGAAATATCCAATAATGGTAGAATATGACTAAATAAATTGTCATACATATATTTGGGACGTTTTTACAAAACTGAACCTGAGTAAAATATTTCCCTGCAGTCAGTTTTTTACTGCAACACACAATACCTAATTCTAATAAAAAAGAAATATTGAAAATGAAGGGTGGGTTTTCAAGGTAGATGAACCACTAAATACATATTTGCCATCTCATATGCAAAAATACTGTACCTCGTTTTTACCCAAGAAAATAGGATTATTCATATTTTTAAGCTCCCCAGTAATGAAAGTGTTTCATTAAATTTAACTGTTTCACAATATTATTTTGATTTGTAGTTCATCTTGTGAAATATGTATGTGGCAAAGTTTGCGGCCAGCCGGGCCTTCGGATTTATGCTTGCGACCCTCGTGGTAATTTGAGTTGTGCAGGCCTGCTCTAGAGTCTAGGCCAGACATGGGCAAAGTACGGGCCAGCAGGCTAAATCCAGCCCGTTGGGTAATTGAATCTGACCCGCCTGATGCAGCCACAACCACTAAAACCCAATTTTTATGTTTTAGCTAAAAATAGCTCAAGGAATTTGTTGAGATTGCGGTTAAATTTAGTTTTGGCCTGAAGCTTATCGTTTTCCACCTTTGCTTTGTAACACTGTAAACATTATTCATGAAATGTAACTTTTTATGTCACACTTACATGGCCCGCCAGACTAGGTGGGCAACATTTTTGGCTGGTTCAAAAACCTTGTCCACCTGGTTTAGACACTCTAGTGCAGGGGTTCTCAACCTGAGAAGATTTCCAGGGGTACTTGGAAGGCAGTCGAGTTTTTCTGTGTTTTTGTTTTTAATATCCTTTATTATTACCAGAGGAAAAAGCGTGTCACTTGAAACGTAGATTTCACTGATCTTGCGGTATTGAGATTGCGACGCAACAATGTGGAACTCACGGCTTTGCAGGAAAACTGAAATCTCTAAGACAGCGTGCAACGGGCATTGGAAAAAGGGGGCTCCCGAAGTATGCGAACCAAGATGGCGAACATCGGAATGTAATATGTGTACTAGGTTAGGGTTAGGCCATAATTTTAGGTATAAATACTACGGGAGGCTTTTGGCTAGTCTTCGAACTGATAATAGGACTAAAATAAGGAAAATTGGAAAAAAATTATCGCCTAACCCTAACCTGCTACCCATGTTACGTTCCGATGTCCGCCATCTTGGTTCGCATACTTCGGGAGCACCGGAAAAAGTGATTTTGCTTATTAAAACTTGGAAAGATTTTAGGAATTCATTATTTAGGCAGACGACAAGGGTAATATTATCAAAGCGAAGATTCAATTCAGTTACATCTGGTCAATAAATTGTTGTTGCAACAAATTGTTATTCAATTTATCACAACTTTGTTCGATGCCTGGTTACGGGGGTTCGCGTTGCTTGCTTCGTGACTCGGGGGGTACTTGACAGAAAAAAGGTTGAGAACCCCTGCCCTAGTGCTTAAATGAATGAAAGCGCATAAATTCACTGCCAAATTCAATATAGATTCAGTTGATCTAACCATTTCAATGGTTGAAACTTTGCTCAAAGACGATTCTTTGTTTACTTACCATAGCTTTTAGCAAATCCGTATTTGCTAAGCAAATATTTAAAATTCATGTGAATTTATAAAAAATGTGACACAATATCGATTTGAATATCAGGTCACAAGACAAGACTGAATACAAACGACAAAATATTGAATTTTAAAGAAACCACATGATAACTTTTTCATAATTCTGTTACTTCTCTAAAATGTAATAACCAATATACAGCAACCAAAATTTTATTTAAATTTATTATCAATGTAAAATAAGGGAAATCGGAATAAAATTATGGCCTAACCCCAACCTGGACACATACTACCGGAGGTACTGAGAAATGTGTTTAAAATTAGATTATGTTCTTTTTAACACAACAACAACACAGGACTGAATTCAAATGTAATAACCATTACACAAACTAACAAAATTTTACTATGGTTTCCAAATAATGAATACTGAAAAGTAGCTTATAAGATATCGTGAGATATCAGTGGCCGTCTATACAAGGCCATGTTCAGAGTGAAACGCAAGATAATTAAAAGCAATACATAAAAAAAATTCAAGTCCTCAAAAAGGTTGTAGTCTCAAAGATTTTGGCCAAATTAGTCAGTATTCAGTAGTTTATTATTCACAGCACTGAAAATAGGCACAAACATACAAATTGCAATAAATTATAGTATGCCATATTTCAGAGTGAAGGAGTCGTGGAAAACCAAATTGAAAAAACTGAATGAGTGTCACTTACTTGAAATCCTATTTTCTGCAGCCTTTTTGCGAGTTTCCTTGAACCTTTTCTAGCAGCCATTTCAGAGTTTGCTCCTGTGCAAATAATCTTACCAGAAGACCAAATATAAGCTGTGCAAGACGGCCGTCGTATTCGCATGATAATTTTCTGTTTGAAATAAAAATAAAAGACGACATTGTGATGCATTGTAATTAATTTTTTAAGTGAGTTTTGAATCAGTTCATATCAATACAAGCACAAGGACAACCGTCAGATAGTTTCCTAAACTTTTTGTTCGTGCGGCGCCAAATTATCAGACAAAAAATCTCATGGCACGAAAAAAGTGCAGCTTTTAAAACGTTATTGTGTACTTTATGCCTTTTGAAGTTTGTGAACATGTAGGCAAAAAGTCACATATTTTTCCTCCTTTCTGATTCATTATCCTTTCAAATGTTCGGTTATAGAGTTATTTCACAAGATATTTTGGAATATATTTGGAGGGTTGGGAACCACTGCTATAAATCTTTTTTTTTTGTGGTAAATTTGTGGTCATTTTAATTTTCAGCTGGCCGCGTGGTACTTTCATTCTTTTGTGCACTGCATAGGTATTGACAATTCTGTGTTTGTTAAAAATGTTGTGTTCTCTTCTTTTTTTTTTAATTTTCCGCGCAGACCTTTTTTGGAGCTCACATGGCCTTCTATTCCGCGCAACTAAGCAAGCTCTTAGAAGGAACGTTGGTTGTGATTTGTATTACTGAAAGTAAATGTGTTGTGAGTCTGAAAAGTTTGAGACCCCCCTCAATCTGAGCTAAGTGGAACTTGATAAAGATTATCACAGGATGTACATAAAGTTCCTTTACAGTTTCAATTTTTACACGAGGTCAGTCCTCAATATATCATACCCAAGTTGGTTTTCAATCAGTAATTGTTCAAGTATTTTTACTGTATTTAATATATATGTGAGGGCTAAAACAACATATATTATCGATAAATTTTCGTTCCAATTTAAAAATAAATTAAGACTTTATGGACACCCTATATATTACCTTTGATTCTCTTTGATAAATAACATTGATTCCCTCCTGTGCGATTCTTCGTAAATTAAGATGACATCTTACTCGGAACGATGTCACAACGTTCGTTATGTATAAATTCAGATCTTTCTCAGGGTCCACTTCCTTAGGAATGACCTAAATAAAATAGACGCATTCAGCTTTCCATACTCAAAGTGAATATATACCACAGAAAAATGAGCGCTCCTGAAGTATGCGTACCAAGATGGCGAACACCGGAACGTAGTATGTGTATCAGGTTAGGGTTAGGCCATAATTTTAGGTACAAATACTACAGGAGTCACACGGCTAGTCCCCGAACTCGTAATAGAACTAAAATATGGAAGATTGGAATAAAATTATGGCCTAACCTGGTACACACACTACGTTCTGGTGTCCGCCATCTTGGTAGGCGTACTTCAGGAGCACCAAGAAATGTATTTTTTATTAAAGTTGGATTATGTTTTTTTTGATACAACAATGTGGGTGTCACAGTTCAAGAATTCTATTCGACATATTAAAAGGAAACAACACATATGAAATCATGGTATTTTTGAAGACATGCACGAGGTAAATATATTGATTCACTGAGCGGCAGAAACAAAATGCATTGATCTGGATTTTTATAAAAATACAATAAAATACAGTAAAATAAATACAGTATAAAGTACAATAAAATACTTTTGCTGCAAAGAAAGTCATTTTGTATGTTTTTAATCAAAATATATTTCATATATTTATTTGATAAACAGGTTATATAAATAGCTTAATTTAAAATTGAGAAAAAAATTGTATGCTTACCGTTGCCGGGATTTCTTTCACAGTGGTGACAGTTAGATTTGGGACATTTCCTGCTTTTTCCAATGGAATTAGAGGCCCCTGACTTTCTGAATTCTCTATTGTTGCATTGTGGGTACTTTGTTGCATTGAATTATGGGTAGGTAATGCATTCAGTGAATTTAAAATCAAGGAGTCTGATGTAATAGGCTCCACTTTACTGATATTATTATTCTCAACGGAGGTTGAAAAAATTGAGGTTGGAATTGAGCTGGAAGTATTATTATCGAAACTGCTAGGTTCATTTAAAATCAAATCCAGAGAGTCAAACGTCTGCGATGGCGGGCCTGAAATAAGACTTTCCAGTCCGATAGGGTTTTGTAATCCCGACTGAAAAAAATTAACTTTGCTAGTTGTTTGTTCATAGCTGGTATGTTGTTGCGTTATCCCAATTTCTGATGACAAGTCTGTGAATCCTTGTATCCATGCGGTAGAGTCGTGCGTTTCCTGTTTTAATACTGAGTCCAGTCCAGCACCATGGATTTCAAGAGTTGAGGAGGATATGGTTGAATGAGCACCAGTATAATCGAAAAATGAAGGCCCAGCCAGATCATCCATTTTCCGCGAATGAGAAATATCGTCAAGAAAAGTTTTCTCTTTTATATTTCATAAATTATGATTGTGTATTTAAGCTTAGAATTAAAACAATGAAATTTGGCATTTGTAATGAAAGTTCAGAATGCTTAAGCAATTATCATCGTTAAAATAATTAGCCTAGCTAATAAAGCATATCCAATATCTCTTCACATCTTCATAATAAGAGAATACATTTAAGATTTTATAGCAATTCGATGATAGATACCCATAAACATGGTTCAGAGCTTTTTTTGAGCATATTAAGTCAGGCAACAGTTAAATACTCCAAATGAGATATTCTGAACTATTCTTTGTGTATCTGGAAAGATTTTTTCTAAATCGATAAAATAAAACAACGCTGATTTTTACCACAAAATGATTATATGAGAAAATCAATTAAACATGATTTGGCAGCACTGCAACTATCAATTTTGAACTAAGATGTTCTGGTTGGTCATGCTTTACTGGGTTTAGGGCTAAAGTGAAATTAAATAGTACCAGACAAAACCAGGAAATCAATAAGTTATGGCAAGCAGCAGTGGACTCATTTGATTAGAATTAGAACATTCTGACCAGCTAAGCTCCATTGCATTAAATTGAAAGGTGTTGTATTGAAAGTTGAAACATTTCGCATTGTAAAGCAATCCTGAACTTATTGGGATTTTTATACTTAATTTATCAAATTTCTCCTTACTAATCAACATTTGTACATTTATAAGGATGTTTTTTCAAATTAAAACTAAAGTACTAGCTACGAATTTATTAAAAAAACCTACATCAACAATAACAATTATATTCCATGAGATTCGAGGCAATTCAAGTTAGAACAGTCAGGGAAACTGCTTAGAGGAAGTGAGAGAAAATGCTCTATTAACCGTTTAGTCATGGACAGGAAAAGAAAACAAATGAAATGATTGTTTTTGTGTTAACCATAATAGAACGATCGTCCGTAACTTTAATAAGAGTCACTTTTACTTTTGAAAGAGTTTACGTTTATCAACTCATAGCCCTCAAGGAAATTTTCTTAACTTTCAGACCAAATCTTGAAGATTGTACAAGCACCAAGATATTTCTATCTAATTATTCAATCATGATCCCAATACTTTGCACTAAAATTAAATTGTGAAATTGTTGATAAAATGTGGTTAAGAGGGTCAAGCAGAGCACTATATTGAAATGTGTACTGTGAACTGATTGAAAAATGACAAAGTACCTATTCTGCTATTAGTTTGTATTTCAATAATTAACAAGCATAAGACATGGACAATATTGTGTATAAGTTAACCAGACAGACCAAGCCTAAATTTTATTTTAGAAGCCTAAAAACGCCAAAAAAGTTTAATTACTATTACTGTTCTAGACCAGACCGTGTTTTGAGTGGTTAGCTTAGCCAGGAGGCCAGCCAAGTTGACGTCCACCAAGAACATGCAGATGTAAATGATAAACAGACTGAGCTCCATTTTTCCCATCATTAACCACAACACGATATCCCGACGAAGCAATATTTTGTTCTACAGCAACTTTTCTTGCTACAGTCATAAGGTGTCCTAAAAGTGCTGAGTCAGTATCTTCTGCCGCAGACAATCCCGTGATGGCTTTTTTTGGTATGACAAGAAAGTGAGTAGGCGCTTGTGGATTTACATCCTTAAATGCCATGCATTTGTCATCTTCGTAGAGAATTTCAGAAGGGATCTCTTTGCGGATAATTTTCCCAAATATGGTGTCCCCACCAGCCTGAGCTGTTTGTGCTTTGTCAACTTCCGACATGACAATTATGTTTAATACTATCAAATAAGCCAAAAATTTAGAAAGAAGCAATTGGCTGCTCATTCACTCACTATAAATAAAATAATATATAAACCATATGACAGATTAATTCCATAAACAAGTTTTTGATATCTTTGAAGTTACACATAGCGGTTATCACACTGGGCATAATTTTCATCTGGATGGTTTGCACATTGTGTTAGGGACAGCGCTGCTAATTATAATATATATATACAAAATTATAGGCTTCTAATATTGTGATCATCTTAGGCATTTTTGTCTCGACTTTTTGCTTATTATATCGTCAAGTCCACACTTGTCACAGAACTGCTGATTATCTTATGTTAGTACGCACACTATATAGATCGAGCACATTGTCTCATCTCGGAGAAACCCATTTTACCGATGATCAGACACTCCTCTTTTAGGAGATTTCTGGACATTGTTGTCCCTCAATAACAGTGAAAATACAGTATAATTAGGGTGCGCAAAATACTACAAAAAAGCGCGTATAAAAACGTCATCATTGAATTCCTTTGGGAAAAAAGAATCCGATTTACAGAAGGAAAAAAGGTGGCGTTCGAATGTTTTTTGCATAAAAAATGCAATTTTGGTCACGTGCTGGATGCGATTAATTTAGATTATTATCGAGACAAGCATGGCGCGATAGGACGCTTCTGCCATCATGCTAGACGCTCCTCATTTGTGAGACACATAGAGTGTTTGTTTCATTAAACCAAATGGAGGGAAATTCTTGGAATTTGGATAGTGTGCCATCCTAAATGTCTGAATGTGTGTTCACAGGTTCGAATTGCTCAAAGTTTTTACACTCTATACAGAGTTTACAATGGCTTCTGGCCAGTTACTGAGTTATGAGTTTGTTTAGTGCATGATAGCATGACACAGTTCTTCGATTCCATTGCCTCACATTGAAGGATATACCGTAATTATAACAGTGTCAGCAAACTCAATCCATTACTGCATGATGACTGAGAAGGTCTGGGTCCTAATAATATCGACACAAATCAGCAAACCTGTACAGAACAATAAACTAAAAGAAAGCGCAATCTAACACGCCATGCTTGGATTCCTTGGAAAAAAATAATCTGTTTGAAATTTGGGCTACTCAACAATTTTTCACTTAATTTTTTTTAGCAAAAACCACAATTTTGGTTGGTTGACGGCAGACTCAGACGCATGTCGCGATTGATATACGGTAGGGGGTCTAGTATAGTTTAGTACCACAAGTACTTCCGTTTGGCGTAGCATAACGAATTTTGGATATGTTATTTCTAACCCTCGCCTGACTATATCATCCAAAAATTACGTCACTACGACGTCATAGAGCTTGTCAAGTATAGCTACTATCGCCCGAAATGGCATCTGCACCGACAATACCGGTACCGGTACCCAACCTACTAATGCCAGCGGTCTCTCTCATATCGGGATCGTTGCGACGAGAAAACGAGAGAAATAGCTTGCTAGATTTCGGGTGATCGTCTGCGGTTTTGGACGACCATCTGTACACTTTGGAGTGATTTATTATGCCACTGTGGCGTCGTAGTGACGTAATTTGTTGGTGACGTAGTCAGGTGAGGGTTAGGAATGACATATGCAAAAATTGTTGAGCCAGGCTAACTAGAAGTGCATGTGGTACTAAACTATACCAGACCCACGGTAGGTACTGGCTTATCTGATTATCGAAACACAGAAACAAGCATGGTTAAATCTGGGGATACGGTACCGGTAGTTGATCGCTTAGTTACCTTATGGAATTTCCATACCCGTGCAGGAACTATTTTTTCCTCAGACCCCAGGCACCGTCTGCGAGACAAGTAAGTTACGGTAACCGTGATCTGAATGTCCGAACGATAGATTTTTCACGTTGGAATATCTGAAAACATTACTTACAAGAATCTGTCTACCTGGATTCGTACATGCCATAATTATTTTCGCACTTGAACTTCAACAGTAATTACCAATTCCTAATCTTATTCAATGAATAATATATAACGCCACAGTACCGTAACCCAAACAACAGACGGCACCAGTTTGCGTCTTGAAAATGAGCAAAAAGTCAAACGCACGACTGACAACTGCTGAGTGCTGATGTATAGATATACCATACAGAATATGGGAAGTGAGGAGTTGGAATTTTTCGATTTTCCGTATATCCGGATAGGACTATTTAAGTTAGTATGTTAGTCGCATCAATGACATTAAACAACATGATGCGCAACTCCGGCATTTTTGTCCGAAGATCGTATTCGATAGCACGCTCCAATGCACATACTTGACGAGACGAAAACGAGCGGATGTGTGCTGCTTTCAAGGCGTAGCACGAATGGTGTTCGTGCCTGCTTTGACAGTTGTTGTCGATTTTAATGATATTTTTGAAAGTTGGGGTAAAAAGAAATCGGTAAAAGGTAAGGTGAATACTATTGTTGTATATCACACCCGGGCATCGCACTGTTAAGTACATGTGGGAAAGCCAGCCTTTGTCAAATACTACGAAGTTATTAATTCAGTACGGTACGTAGTTGCCCATTTGCCGAAATTACATATTTACTTACCCCTTATGGTTTCAAATAGTTCATGAGTTTGACACCACTGATCTATTCTAGACGATTCAAGCATTGCTTTGGGAAATTATATCACTTCAATTAAATTGAAATAATCTCGCTATATTAAATACAAAATCGTTGCTATCATAAAGGTAAACCAATTCAGCCACTCGAAATATATTGGCCTTCACAAAGCAATGGAGGCAAAATTGAGAGTTCATGAGCTATGAACATTTGTTCTTTTCTTTGTCTTGAACTTTCCATACTCCACAGCCCCTATTAATTTTTTTTAATTTTAATTACCATGTGATGGTCATACATATCTTTAACTTGTATTTTCTGTCATGATGTATTATCTCAATGTGCCAAACTATTAATTAGTGTGCATATTCTGCTTCCAGATGACATAAATGTATTGTCATGTTTATTACCTCAGCTTGGAGTATTGACGAGAAAAAGGTGCCAGTAAATTAGGTAAAAAAATTTTCAACTCATTGTTATAATCAGAATTCACAATCAATAGGAATTATAAACAGCCAACAATCAGTGAGAATTATATGCGAAATTCCTCAGAATAAATTTGTCTAAAATCGGAGGAAGGCAAAAAATATAGGTAGTTTCCATCCACACAAGCATTTCAAGAAGACTTGCTCGAGCCAAACTAAATGAGCATCGTCAGGTGATCGGTAAGGCTGCAAGTTGAATTCAGCCCTGCAACCTCCTGCATAGAAGATAATATTAATTAGTGGGCTATGAGCTAAATTCCTAAATTTAAACAAACCTATCTACGATGCATTATGTACCAGCAATGTTACCTACGATTAACTGAATATGTAATATGTCTAATACATTCACCTACAAAAGCAAGTTCGATAGGTGCAAACTTTGTGTTATGGAATTGTATCGCAGCACAGTTTTGTATGACACCCTCTTTAAATGAAATTTCAATGATTAAGCGCAAACATTAAAATTACTAACTTTGAACTTTGTCATTATCTGCAAAATGTTCCACACAAATCTTTCCGCTATCGCGTTTGTAATCTTCTCTGATAAAAAAAAACGTCTATGATGTCCAGAATTGTTCTTTACAGCTTGCCTGTTATTCCAGCTTTCCAAGTAAGCAAAACTTCTTAGATATAGAGATTATTTTGTTTCGTTACAGGCGCAAAAAGGCAGGTACTACACGTAAAAAATACGCCGAGTAGCAAAAGCGAGCGGAAAACGGACGCGAAAGGCGACGAGAAATATGTGCATTGGAGCGTATCATGAAATACAATGTTTTGCCTGTAGTCTTATGGAGTGACGTCAGAGTTGCCTATCATGTTGTTTAATGTCATTGGTCGCATCAATGACATTAAACATGTCATTGGTCGCATTGAGGTGTTGGTGGTGTGCAACAGGCGGCCACAACCCGACCCATCAAACCATTTAGTGTAGGAGTCTCACACGCGCGGCCCGGGGGCCAATTGCGACCCGCAGGACGATAGTTTGTGGCCCCCGCTTTAGAATAAGAAGTTTGATGTTAGTGAGGCCCGCAACTCACTCAGCTCAGTTCGCATGATTAATGATTAATACATTTACAGTAATATAAGTTAGTCACAATCACCAATTAATAATTCATAATATGTTCAGTAAATTTCTTATAATTAGTCTTAATTTGTTCATTAATGTTTTCAACTTGTTTTGTGTTTAAAAATATAAAGAAATTTAAGAAGATTTGAATTTCTTAGGCTGTTACGGTGGAAAACCCGATGCGGACCAGACCCACCAAGACTCTGTCTTCATAGGTCTCTAGGTAAATTGTGTTTGAGACCCCTGACTTACATTTTCCCCCATCAAGCATAAATTCTGAATCCGACAGTTTAAGTTTAAACAGTCGCTTACGTGGGTAGAAATACATAATGTTTTTGCTCTTTCGCTGCGTTTGCGTTTGTCCGGTGTCTTTATTACTGCGAGGCTAAGCAAAAGCTGCGTTCTCTTCTCTTGCTATTCCCGCGTGGAAAAAACTAATTTTTTTGTGTGGCCCGGCTAAATGAATTAAGTTGGTTATATGGCCTACCGACAAAAAAAGCTGCACACCCCTGATTTAAGTTCAAGACAGTGTAGGCTACTATTTGTTTAAAAATTTTACAAATTGAAACATATACATTAGAACATATTCTAACAAATGTTTTTTTTCCATTTTTAATTATAAATGAACAAATATCCACGACTGAATTCAGCATTACCTGCTAAAAATTGTGTGATTCGCTAAAAAGTATTCGGATGGCTTTCCTTCAAATTGCCGGTGCTGTCAAACTCTCTTACTACCTTCGGTTCGTTGGACCTCCTTCCACTTCGTGTGGCGGCGGTTCATCCTTTTCTCGTTTTTTTTACGTATATATTGAAAATTATTCGAGCTTTGTATTTTCTAATAGAGTTATAGACCGCAAAAACTTGGGTGTGTAATGTGTATAGTATGTGGCTTTATGTAGGGTGACCATATTTCCAAACCCCAAATGGAAGACATATCATTCGGTAGAACCATGTTTTACCCGTGCCTGATATATATACATTATATATCTACTAAATATCTAGGCTTAAATATGGAAGCGACAATAGACGATGTGACGACAATGCATTTTTGTCTTGCCAACATTCACCTCAGACACGGAAGTCTCGTATCCGCAAGTAATGCACTCCGCTTCGCTATTAGTTTTCATAGTCACTTTTGAGTTTTATCTTTTCTGAGGCATGGATACTTCTGCTTTAATCCTTGTGTAAAATGGGTTTTTACTGGGTCTACTGACGAATTTTTTTGCTTAAATCGAAACTTCACTAAATTGCGAAATACAAATGACATTGCATAAAATCTGGGTAACATACTGCCCCCATATTTGCCAGTTTATATATTTGCAGTTGTGTATTTGTCATACCCTGGGTTTCCGGTGCGGAACTTTACCCGTCTCTAGTCAGCCAAAAAAACTTAACACAAGTACATAATGCAGATGGAATGTATTATTACATCATGAAAATGTAAAAAGAAGAGAAAAATAAACAGAGAAATAGATCAAACACATTCCAAATATTTCATAATACTCAGTCCGATAATTATTAGCAGTGTTCACTTGTGCACACTGTATAAAACTACTCAAGTTTGAAAACAGCAAGTACCCATGCATAAATAAATTAACTAAATATCATAAATATTATAACAACTGGCGCTGGATCTATTTACAATAACAACTCTTGTTAGAAAGTTTTCTCTAAATCGTAGAAAACGGCTTTCAGTCAATTTCAGTCTAAAATTATTACATTTTCAGTACGTAAGCTTGATACAACAAACAGATTCAATAGTCCAATGTTCATACTGATTATTGGGGAATTTATGTCCACATATGGCGAATAAAACTATTGGCAGTGACAATGAGTTTTTAAAGCATAGACGGCTGGAGCATATTCAATGTATAAAATAAATCCGATTAAACTCCTGTAAAACGCATTTTATCATCGCCGCAATACCTTTTCACGTTTTCATTATGCGAGTACAAATATGATACAACGACCTCACATAATTTAGAATTTTTCAACAAATTGTACTTTCACAAATGTAAGTTTTAAATGTGGAGAATAAGAAAAATCGGCAGTGAGTTTTTGCAGCATTGACAGTTCGATCCCATTTACTTAATAATAGAACTTTATAAGTGACTAATTTGAATTCGATTAAACTAGAAGAGAAATTACTTGAAATTTTGAACAGTTATTAAAACGTGAAACTCAGGTAAATATATAAAGTAGTGAAAGGACTGGGATTCTTGTTTTTCTTAATATCACCGATCGTCCCCATTTGGTTGAACTGGTGTAACTTCTCTTAAAGACATCGGTACGGGGTATGAGGTTGATAGTGTCGGCGTAGGTATAGTAGTAGTTCCACAAGTGCCGTATTGCACTAGATTACCGAACTCATCTGTCCCTTGGTAACTTTGCTCGTCCTTAGAGGATGTTGAACGTTGGAGTCGGTCCTGTCGGATAAGAACATAAATACTAAACACCAAAGTAAACTGCTTGTCTGATTTTGGTCAGACGAAACGTTACAGAAATAAATTTGTGTTAGTGTGCAGCAGGCTCTTGAATTGCATAATATGGTATTCTTATTCCTGCTACAGCATCCTTGCATTACATGCATACGGATCCACTAGCGCAAAGGCATTGAGGAAGGATTGGGAGTTAGTCTCGCGCAACCTATACTGATAGTACCAAAAAACGGTATGGAAGTTTAGTGACTACGATAGGCATCGGGATTCGGTAAACCAGCAGCGGTTCCCAAACCGCGCACTCCGGCGCAGTTAATTGCGGCTGTAAAATGTCGATTCATTCTCAAAAAAATACTTTTTTATTACGTCTTGAGAATTAGAAATTTTCGTAAATTGCTGAAATCTGTAAATATTTACAGTAGGAAGGAAGTGTACCGCACATTCAGTCGCGTTCAGAATACAAGCTATTTTGTCGTAATGAGGTGTTAACAAAGTCAAATTTTCATTTCAACGTGCCGTGATTTGTATTTTATAAAGCAAATGCGCAATGAGTTGGTTGGTAACGGATAAAAACCTCTGACCTAAACTGGTTCCACATGTGGTTAAAGACATCGGAGTGGATATTTACCAACCGTGCTATATGTGCTCTCAAAAACAATCTATATTCTATATCAGGGCTACTCAACTGGCGGACCGCGGTCCGAATCCGGACCTTTTGACGATAAAATTTGGACCGCGTCTGCTTGTTTATTTTGGCAGCATAAGCATCGTTTTATAGTTATAGATGATTTTGATACAATTTACATACACTTCTATACAGTTTGTCGTACTGGTACCGATGTGCGATATTTGTGTCCATATTTGCGGGTCATTCATTGCTCTGTATTTAATTTAATATTGTATTTGATGAAATAAATTTTCTGTAATGTCCGGACTCCAGTAATTTTGAAGTTTCGTAAACGGACCTTTGGTGAAAATAGTTCAGTAGCCCTGCTCTATATAGCAACGATTCTCAACCGGGGGCCCGGCTCCACAAAGCAGTTGAAGGGGGTTACAATGCTAGGCGCAAAACGAATTTTACTTTTCCCTTGGCAAGAAAACTTCCCGTTTTCTCTAGTTTCATTGCTTGAAAAGATTATTCCAGGGGTGTTTTCACTTTGTTGAGCATGGATCGTTTGAACATAATGGGATTTGGAATCTAGCAATCAAAATAACACTATAAATACCACTGAATTAATAACCAGGAGAGGCGTAGGGGCTAAAAACCTCCGAAAAGGGGCCACGAGCCATAAAAGGTTGGTAACCACTGATATATTGTGTCAGTAAATGTTAAAATTTCAGCAGTTGCCAAAAAATTGACTTTTTTTTTCTAATACTTTGTTTTGAGCAAATTATCTGAAAGATAGACAGTTAGTCAGTAGTTTATTTTATCACAAACCGAAAGTAGGCTACACATTGGACAAACATAACTAAGAAAGATTGAAAAAAGCATTTCTGTGTGAAGGGAGACGCAATAAATCAGTAATTGGTATTGAGCAGCGTCACCTATAAAAGAGTGACTCAAACTGAGAAAAAAGTGAAACATAAAATACTAACAGCCGGACTTTGAGGTACAAACCTCGAATATTTTCCTTTCGGCCATTTCGCTTTGCTTGTTGAGTTTTCCGAAGCCAATTAGTGCGATACATACAGACAGACTGATCCCTCCAAAACAGAAAGTAAACGCTCCTGCCCACCGTGAATACATGAGAAATTTATTAAACTCGACATTGTCTTGCTTGACATATGTGTTTCGTCCAAGTACGAATCTCTGAAATTGGAAGAGGTTGATTTAATTAAGTTTATTTTTGTCGTCTGCTAATTGTGTATGGTTAGGGTTGTGTATCAAGAGAATTAAACATATAATACTAGGGCTGAGCAATTCGAATAGTAAATTATTCGAATCGATTCAGAGCAAAATTTCGAATCGCCGCCATCTTGTTGTTTTCTTTTCGTCAATAGTCGAGATCAACTCCCCATTTTTTTTTATTGGAGCCATGTTTTTTCAACGCAATTGTGACATATGACTATTTTCTGTAGTGAGTTATTGATAAAACGTGTTTTTTTATTGTGTATGAACGCTCAGTCATTTGTCTGAGTGATGTATTCTATGTCTTCAGTAATTCATGGATTAACGGGACCAATTACAATAAAAAAAAGTCGCATACAATTATATATCTCTCATTGACTCTCAAGTATTCGAGATTCGATTCGAAAAAAATATTCGATTCGATTCTGAAATCATCAGGTATTCAAAAATGCCCAGCCCTACATAATACAACAGTGTTAATTGTGAGGATTGAAAGTAAGATATTAATCAGCTACGTACACCAATGCAGCATTCGTATGTTTAAAGTTTAGTTTCGATTAAACACACCTCCGAACAAGGCTCTGCACAAGAAGACATTGACAGAAGAAGGTACCATGTTTTGAAAGAAAATTTTACGGTTCGGCATTGCCTCCCCCATTTATTACACCCTGCGTGAGGCGGTGGACATAAGAATTGTTCATAATTACAAGACGATTGCTGATGGAAAGTTTGCTTCACCCATCATCGGGGAATCAAAAATTCACTGTCGCAAACGAAACGAACGGGACTGAAATATCGTATTAGCCAGAAACGCAGTGCGTTAGCCCGTAAACCGTTATAACACTTTCAAAAGAATATTGATTAGAATGCATTAATTTCAGAAAATCATAAAGTGGTTTACATGTTTTATTGTAATTCTGAAGCAATAAAACAACGCACGAAAATTGACGACCCCCAACAGAGTCAAAATGGAAGTAAAACGTTACAGCGGTGCGACAGAATCGAAAAGTTTCCTCGTCTAATTAATTAACGAGGTTATTTTAGATTCAATTAAGGCTGATCGATTATCATCTTGCGGTGCGTTTCACCGTAACTAAATGAAACTGAAAGTCTCAACATTATTGTGATCTCAATGGTAAAGAGTTCCAGCGATAGAATCGAAAAATTTATATTCTATAAATAACCAGGTAACTTTGGGTTTAATCAAGGCAACTTCACAATTTTAACAGGAAAAAGTTCCAGTTGTAGATTAGAATCAAGGCAAAGGGGAAAATGTCGAAATTTCTAAACTTTTATTTTAAAATATTACAATGAAATGGTGTTTTTAAACCTGGTACATAATCTTAGTTCGAAGCAATATTCATCAGTGTTCCACTAAAAAGTAACAAGTGATTTTTAAGCAAAAATACACGATTTCCTGATTTACTCAAAGCAGCTTTTGAAGTTTCGCATTTTGGGCTGAAGCCTTCGAATCTCTGATTAACATGGTTACTTTAGCTTTAAGTTTGGGTCGTACGCGTGACTAGAAAAAAAGTCGATATCCAACTCACTGTACGTTTCGCCATAACTTAAAATGAATCTTCACAACATAAAAAAAAAGATATAAAATAGGATTTCAGGTGTAAAATAGAATCGATTTCAGGAAAAAAAGTGCAAAAATTCAAATAACAAAAACTTTTGTTTTTAAAATATAACAAAATATTAATCGCTATTTAAGTTGGGTTCGTTTGAGGCAATATTCGTCAACATATTATAAGAAAAATTTACAGGAGATCAAAAAGTAAAATGTATGTTTACCTAATTTACTAGGAACAACCTCAAGTTTTGCCCTTTCGGTTCAAAGGCCTTGATTCCTCTAATTCATGGGTGCACAACTCAAATGAGGATACGTGCCAATTTTTTTAAAATAATCTTGTCGGGTGCCACGCACAATTGTAGTATTGTAAATTAACTCCCGTAAAACAAACAAATTGCAATAACAATACATAATAACGAATATCTTTTTATTAAAACAACTTAATGTCCTGAAAAAAAAATGCTGATTTTGATATAAACGTGATATTTTAATGTATATCATAAATATTTTATTTTACAAAAAGGTTCGCGTGCCACGTTTGAGCGTAAGGCGTGCCAAATTTGGCACGCGTGCCTCGTGTTGTGCACGCCTGCTCTAATTAACAAGATTATTTTAGCTGGTCTGTTATGGCTGGTCTGTGTCGCGATGAAATAGATCGATAACTAGTTTGAGGTCCGTTTCGACGTAACTAATATTCATAACTTAGAACTCCTACAGTAATAAAGTTTAAGCTGTAGAGTCAAATCGAAATTGAATATTCGAAAACTTGGGGCTCCCGAAGTATGCGAACCAAGATGGCGGACATCGGAATGTAATATGTGTACTAGGTTAGGGTTAGGCCATAATTTTAGGTATAAATACTACGGGAGACTCTTGGCTAGTTTCGAACTGATAATAGGACTAAAATAAGGAAAATTGGAAAAAAATTATCGCCTAACCCTAACCTGTTACCCATGTCAAGTTCCGATGTCCGCCATCTTGGTTCGCATACTTCGGGGGCACCGAAAACTTTTATTTTAAAATATTACAAAGAGAAAGGCCAAGTAGGTACTCAATCACTAAAATATTCCAATAAAAAGTTACGCGATTTTAGAAATCAAAAATATTCGTTTATTACTTAAAACAGTTTTTACAAGTTTCGTCTTGTGGAATGAAACCCTCAAATGTCTAATTACCAAAGTAACTTTAGCTTCGGTAAACGTCGGTGTCACGATAAAATAAGTCGATGACCACTTTGCGGTACGTTTTGAGAGTGAAAAACCAAAAATATACGTTTTCTAATTTATTCAATCCAGTTTATTCAAGTTTCTCCCGGTGGGCTTAATCCTTCGAATCATCGAAGTATAATTAACCGCTTGAACCCGGCAAGCCGGTTTACCGGCTTGTTTGAGTACGCTCTGTGCCCCGGCAAGCCGGTTTACCGGCTCGTTTTTCGTGTCGGAAGGAATCAACTTTATGATCTCGTATCTCAAGAACCACAATGAGTATTTAAATAAATTTTAGATTGCACGAAAGCTTGTTATTGGGACTAATTATATTGTAAATATCGGTGCTCTAATATACGATGTTTCAGTAAAATTGGCAATTTGAAAGCGCGTATGAAATTATTGCATGATAACAAATATTTAATATAAAGAATTTCGACTTCTTGCCTAAATAGCCACATATTCAATCGGCAATATATGTGGAGAATTTGAATAGCTTTTTATATACGTATACAAAACGATTTTACGATGAGCTATTCAAATTTTATGGCCAAATATATTAGATTATCTGTAGATTTAACAGCGACGCTGCGTCAAAATGATGTTTTCATTGAAGAGAGACTACGTCTCGTCACGCACAACTTTACGTATATTACGCAAATGCAACTAAACGTGACGATATCCGCAATGACGTTACGTCGAGATGTTATTATTTAAATGTCCGCAGGAAGTAATTTATTAACCCGATGCTACGCATTCAAAATTCGCACTACGCTTTGACTTTGACTGCCCGCTCAAGCCCCATTAAGTTGTGGTTACGTATACGCAATATGAACAAGATTGTGATTTTATTAGCAAATAACGGAACAATAAAGACCATGAAAAATGTATGTACATAAAAGACTGCTTGCTAAAAAATTTAAATTGAATATTGCACTTTGTTGTGCCCGGAACAATGAAGAACGTGAAAATATTATGTAGATAAAAGACACATTCTAAATCCAATATTGCACTTTGTTGTGTCAGGTATACCCATGGTTGTTGGTTTCGTTACCTATACATAGGTACTCATTACAGTATTTGTACTTATATACTGTCTCGCATCGTTTCAGCAACGCTTTGTCTTTAGCAGCTGGATTGGTTTTTTGGCAATAATGTGAATTTTGCTGCATACGACGCATCTATTATTAGAACTGGCGTTTTGCGGTAGGGTACTTAGTTCTGGCGACGCATACGATCTTGTTGGAATAAGATTTGCTCTTTCTGCATTATTAGTTCTCTCAGATATTGATCCATCCACTTGCTTCGCCTAACATTCGTACAATCAGATATTTTGATCTGCAGAGCAGGCAAGTACCTATTTTGGTTGATATTTGAACAAATACTGATGGGCGAATAAAACATTTTCCACGTGAAATTTTATATGACGATATTAACTTCCCTTCACTTCGCTATTACTGCACGCATTACTCGACGTCGGTACTTCAATCCATACAGGGTTAATATCATATCGAAACTCGGCGACCGATGTCCCGCTGAGAACGTCGTCGTGAAAGTTATCTTGCGCATTTTGCCACGCAATACGTTTCAAACGTACTTATCAACATCTTCATGACGGTAGTCACGTGATCGGCTTTTGCGTTGCTGCGTAATCAGTGCGTCATGGCCGCTTATCGAAGTTGTTCACCCGACACAATGATACACAACTAAATATTTAAATATAAAATTGGTTATATGGCAGCCACAATAGTAATTCGAATATCAACAAAACGCTTATAAAAAACTCTTTATGAACATCAAATATTAGCAGTATATTTTGTACCAAAGTAAACAAATTTCAAGCCAAAACTCACATACATGCAGAAAAATCACTGTTAGATTAGGGTCAATTTTATTAATTTTGACAAAATGTATATCGAAATGGAAAATACATTCTGAATGCACGATAAAATTTCCTTTCGATTGAAATGTCACACAACGTGCTACCTATATTTGGTAAAAAATTATAAGCGTGCCAAATATCCCGTATTTAGACTTATTTTATTGTTCTACCAATACGGCGCCGCGAACCTTCAGGGTGAGCGAGTAACTTCGCTCTGAGCCGTCAGAGTTCAAAGAGTTAACAAGGTCGATTTCGTTTTAACTAAGGCTCGTCCTCAACGATAATAAATCGATAAACAAATTACGTCGCGTTTCGTCGGAACTAGCATAAGCATTCAGAACATAAGAGCGACATAAGCAAAGAAGAAATTCAGCATTAGTATAGAACAGAATCTAAGTTTATCTCCTATAATGAATAAGGATGGCTCCCGAAGTATGCGAACCAAGATGGCGGACATCGGAATGTAATATGTGTACTAGGTTAGGGTTAGACCATAATTTTAGGTATAAATACTACGGGAGACTCTTGGCTAGTCTTCGAACTGATAATAGGACTAAAATAAGGAAAATTGGAAAAAAAATTATCGCCTAACCCTAACCTGTTACCCATGTTACGTTCCGATGTCCGCCATCTTGGTTCGCATACTTCGGGAGCACCGAATAAGGTAACTTTAGCTTTAATTAAGGTTCATACACGTAACGAGAAAATGAACCAATAACCCACTCACGGTTCGTTTCGCAGGAACTAGGAATCCAACAAGCAAAAGAACAATTCCCGCGACGATTAGGATAATTGCAACTGAGAATCCAACTGTGCTCAAGATGTCCCATCGCCTGTAATGAGAAATGTGCTGTTGTAATACAAGGTGTGGATTATTTTGATTGTTTTGGTTTAAACCGTAGACAATTTTTAAGGGGACGTGAAGCTGATTAAAATTAAAAATATTTGTTAGATTTTATCTTGCTTGCTTTAACTTGAATATCACATTTTTTTATTTTGGATATTTACATTTCCTTATTGTTTAGATATTGCGATTCCATCAACGTATTTTCAACGTGTTTTTGAATAAAACATACTTTCGCCTTACTACACTGGAGGTGTAGGGGAATCACTCGCGGTGCATCACGTGCGCTGATGCGTTTATAATAAAAACGTTGTTGATATAAATATTTATTTATAATATGCCTGAATAGATTATGGTCTTTTGTGAACGAAACCATATCGATACAATACAGTATTATTATAAACACTGATTGTTGTTCACGAGATTATGACGTAACTGTATTCTTGTAAATTATAATGATCAGTCCATTATGATGTAACCGTGATACGTAAATGTAAACAATAGTATCGAATCGTTGATAAATCATGATGTCATATACTTGAAAAATAAAAAACAACTGACATCGCTAATAGATCATCAATTCACTCAGTACAATCACTCGCTGATACACAAGGATCAAGATCAGTGCCGCGCCGGCTTTTTAGAATTTGTCAAGTCTCGCGCTCACCTCAAACATAACTAGCTAACAATAAGCTACAAATAACTGATAGTAAGTCGAAAGTATGTTTTATTAAAAAAAACACGTTGCAAATACGTGGATAAAATCGCAATCTCCAAACAATAAATAAATGTGAATATCCAAAATAAGGCGGGCAAGACACTAGATACCGCATAATACTATAGCTAAAGTCTCGTTATAGAATAAACAAATAAATCAGTTTTTATGCATATTGCGAGGGGGAATATAAAGTTATAATATAAACAAATAGAGGAATTTAACGAAAAAGGTTGTATGGCACTGCTTTAGGCAATCCCAGCACATAGAAAAAATGACACTCCAGAAGTATGTGTACCAATATGGTGATAACTAATTCTAATGAAGTTGTGTGAAGGGACTGAAAGCTATGAGCATGGGGTATATTCACTTAGCTGACACAGACAGTCCCCAAACTAGTAATAGACCTAAAAAAAAATAAGGAAAATCGGAATAAAATTATGGCCTAACCCTAACCTGGTACACACACTACGGGAGTACTAAAAAAAATCAATAAAACGTACCTGAGGCTTTTAGGTTTTACTTGATACCCGTCATATTCCGCGTCCTCGTCCACATCTCCAATTCCCGCGCAATCTTCATAAAAATGATGGAGATAGCTTTTGACCCCAAACTTAACTTTCGTTGGTCCACGAGTGGGTGACGTAGGGGACACGTGATGCGGAAGACTACCGGAAGAGTCTTCAGAGTACTTTATTGACCCCGATGTGCTTCCACCTGAACCTACCTTTGAAGCTGGTGACGTCATGTTGCTATAGCAAACTTAATTTGTCTTAGGACGTTTCATATTAAATAATGTCCATAGTCACACTATTTTCTAATATTCTGTTAAAAAATTGTAATTTTTATGTAATCGGATTTGTTTTAATGTGTTCATAAATATGTATCCCGGTAACAATAAATAGGAAAAAAATATCCCCGATACTACACGCAAAATGACGATACATTAGCAGAGATTCGGCCCTATTAAAATAGGTTTTATACACTTAAAGCACTTATATTCATTTCAGTATTAGGTATTGCGCATCGCGGTTTACTCCGATGTCAAGTTCATACATCTGAAATAAATTGCTGGTCGACTATTTTGGTGCCCGACATGGACTGGGAACCGGACGAGAGGCCTTGCTTCGCCATATGATCAAGCCGTCTTCCTTCTATCCGGGAACAAATATAAAGCCTCATCTTAGTATGGCCAATCCAAAGCTGATTAACCTTTTATGCAATAATCATAAACTTGTTTTATCAAATACCAAATGGTGAATTAACTTATCGATTGAATGAGATTAATCATCTCAGATGATGTAACAATATTTGTTCTGGGAACGGGCACATTCGTTTGTGGGATAATTGTTTGTTCGTATTCTTATGCGTAAAACTTGGATATGTTGTCGCTTACTGAGTGCTCTGGTAAATGAAAGTTATAGCTAAAGCACTACCTATGGCATAAATGCTGCGAGAAATTGAAGTGAACAGTGACTTCATCGACAATACCAGTTTCCATTCACATTTTTTCTATTATGACGTAATATTACGTTTACTCGTGCCTTTTGGCCCGAACAAGGCTAGATAAAAGCTGCTACTGATTTCTAACAAAAACTCAAAGAATCTCTCTACAGACTTACTTCGCTGTCGAAGTTATCCAAGGTATACAAGCGCGCTTTTTTATTTTCAGTATCTCAGTTGGGTTCATCTGGTAATAGGATTATTGATAGCAAGCCAAGAAAAGTCAACTTCCATGGAATTGTTCAAAAATAGAGTAAAATGGGGTTGGCCCCTCAGCCCATTGCCTTCGACTATGGCTGTTATACAAGGTATTAAAACGAGCATTTTTTATCTACATTATCTCGGTAGGTTAATTTGGTGAAAGGATTTTTGAAAGCAAGCCAAGAAAAATCGGTACTCCCGAAGTATGTGAACCAAAATGGTGGACAGTATGTGTGACAGTATGTTAGGGTATAATTTTAGGTACAAATACTACAAAAACCACTTGACTAGTCCCCGAACCATTGATAGAACTAAAATAAAGAAAATTGAAATGAAATCATTGCCTAACCCTAGCCTGGTAAACATACTACATTTCGGTGTCCGCCATCTTGGTGCACATCAAACTCTATTGAATTGTTCAAGATTAGAGTAAAATAGTGTTGGAAAAGCAATGATCCCTCTGCCCACTAGTTACGTCTATGGCTGTACTAAAACAATAATTACACTACGTGATACTGGAACGCAAGCTGAAGATAAAATAAATTAAGTACACATCGTTACATTGCGTACCCTGCTTCATGGAATTAGGTATTTACGATTCAAGGAGAAAATCTGAAATAATCAATAACTGGCAACCCTCGGAACGAGAATCTGCGGATTAAGCCAACCGACCATCTGCCGAAAAACCGTTAATTATGATAGCAGTGCTATGAAACAAATTTGTAAATTATTCCTATGTATATGAGTAATTGGGTGAGCGTACCACTTCTTTTTGGCAAAACTTTCCATCTTATATTATGTATGTTTTGAACCTTATCCAGGTTATTTGTTTGCTCGCCTGATTTCATAATCAGTTTTTATTTATTTGCTTTTATCAATCATTTTATCGCCTTTTATTCTGGTTATGGAGTCGAAATAATCATTAATTATTTACTTGAACAAAATGGACGGTCAATTTTTTTTCTTAATTCTGGATGTACAATGTGTACTTTCAGCCTGTGAAAAAATAAACTACTGACTACTGGGTATTGCAACTTCAATTTTTGTTCTATATTTGAAAAGGTACGAACGAATTCAAATTTTTTGGGCCAACTCAATGGCGTATAAATTCATCAAAATGAAGCATCCATTTGAAGGTATTTTTACGGAACTTTGAGGCTCCATAACTCATTTGAACCGTTTGTACAAAGCCCGCGACCATAATGCAAAATGTGAGATTTGAGAAAAACATCTCCGCAGCATTTTTAAATACCAAATTAGTAAATAATTATCCAGTTGGGGTTAGAAAGGATTTGAAAACTCGAATTTCCAGTGCAATCTGAATTTCTTACCCTATAACTGAATAACTAGAATATCGGTCGGAGACCGAAGACTTATCGATCGGAGGTTAGGGGATCCCCAAAACAGTGGTCCTACTCCATAGTGACACAGTGTGTCCCATCACTAATTAATTAATAACTCGCTAATTATACATTATACATAATCCATCCAAAATCGATAGGCTTCTGTTCCGAACTATGATGAATGCACATGCATAATTTGGAGCAGATTCAACCTCGCTTTTATGAGATATCGCGTGTATCTAACAGACAAACAAACAAACAAACAGACAAATACCTATCAACATACTTACCGATCTTAAGATCGATACGTAATTACGAATTTTGGTACTCCCGAAGTATGCGCACCAGGATGTCCCACAACCTGAACTCTAACCTGCTACACAACCTGTGTTCAGGTTGTGCGCCATCTTGGTGCGCATACTTCAGGAGGTCCCGTATTTTCCTATTTTGAGCGTTGGCGTTGTTTTTTTTATGTGGCTTTGGACGGTAGATCCTTATTACGGTATTTTAAAACGTGTCGGCGGTGTTTTCACCCAAATCTCACATTTTTGCATTAGTGGGTGGCGGTGGATTTTTACAAAAGATCTAATTGTAATTGTAACATGAACACCCGAAAATATAGCTCTTATTTCGTCAGCGCTCGCTTGGACATTATTATTTTCATTATTGGCTGAAGGCTCGGCAGGGACCGGGCTGGAATAAGACTTGCGTAAAAACTGAACGTAGCATGCAATTGATAGCGCTCACGCTGCGGTGTATTTAATCCACGCAACGCTGCGTAAGAATATCGACACTTATGTAATCATAGTAGATTTTGTCATAGAGCGTGCGTCACCTGCTTTACGTAACCATTGATTGATTGCATTGTCTATTTACATAAATCGATGATAAACATTCATACGTCAGGCTTTGTTGAAATTTCGTGAATCGAATTTTAGTAAAAATGAATGGTGCTGCCGTGTTTTTTCGTAGGTAAGACCGGGGCTTATTTCAATTTTCTTTCGAAAAATAACACTAGGGCTTATTTTTGTGGGATGTTTTTTATTTTCATTTAATAAAAACAAAACTACAAAGTAAAGAATTACGAGATTTTCAAATACTATACAAAATATGAAAACCGATATCCATGAACTTATGAATAACACGTTTTTTTTGCGCTATCGACTAGGTCTTATGTTAAGGGGAGGGCTTATATTAAAATTTAAGCTAGGTCTTATTTTCGGCAAAACACGCTACTAGAATATGATCGCGAGATGAATGGCAATTAAAATTCAAAACAAATCTGCTTCCATTGAAGAGGATTATAGAATATTGATAATGGATTATAACCAGTAACACGGATATTTTTTTGGACTAACCGCCTGTTTCGATTTCGAAACGACAATAACGAATTCAGTGTGCTCCCCGGCTTTTCATTTCATTTTAGGAAGGTGAGGAGTGTTTCCAAATTTAGGGGGTGGTGATTATTATTTCTTTCCCGGGCCCGGGGGAGTTGATTCTTTATTTCGTTCGCCTTCAAGACGACAATAAGGATACAGGTCACAGGGTCTGTACAAGTCTTGTTACAATTTCTATACTGTCATGAAGTCAGTTCTCAATATATCTGATTTGTTTTATTTTGATCAGTGTTTATTTAAGCTTTTCCTTTATGTGCGCCGAAGCACACCAAAGTTCTCACTTATTTAATACGGGACCTTATCAACTTATTTCTATTATATTTTATCGTTTCCACGCATTCACGGTCTGAATAAGAGTCTACTGATACGTATAACTACTATGTATCTGAAAGAAACAGCATCTTTCCAATTTGGTATGTCATAACCATTTATTACAACCTAGGTGAATAATAATATCATATACTATCTATATATATGATATTATTATATTATACATAAAAACAAAATTCAAAATGTCGATGGCAAAATATTATATCATTTGCGAAAACGCTATCAAAACGACCTGCAGTTTACGTAATTTCTGATAATATTTTGCGGCTCATATTTCAAGATTTTTTATTATATTTTTTCAATTCTCCTTTCTCGTGTATGCAATACTATTTAATCGTGAACAGTTTCTAAAAAATGGATGGAAATATTATTATAAATGATTCATAAATCAAATATTAGGAAAACCCTGGATTTATTATAACACGCCGTTTGTACAAATAAAACAATATCGATTTAGACTCTCAATTTCACAAAAGGATTTTTCAAATAAACACTAAACATACTTCCTACTTGATCGGTATGACAGGCATTATATATCTGTCTTAAAATCAGTAACCAGTAGGTTACTTTTTTCACTAAACTGAAAGCACACTTGTTATACAAATATTAAAATAATAAAAAATTACAATAAATTCTATGTTGAGGGAAGCCGTGGAAAACCAAATTTGGTTATCGAGAGTGGTACCCGCAAGAAAGTCCAACATAGAAAATAATAGTCGATGTCGAACTATCCTATAACTGAACTAAAATCGCACCTGCTGTCTATATGGTATTCCAATACCCCCTCAATCATTCAATTAGCGATTGGGAGCATACATCCATTCTTAATCATGTTTATTTTAGCAGGTAAATAGGCCTCTACGAAGAAAGCCATGAAATAGCAATTGAGTGATATGTCCATCGTCATTTCTAATTACTGTATATCTGATCTATATTGGCTCAATGCAGAGGAAACCATTCAAATGGTGACTGGGGTCTTGTATCCATCTCTATTCCTGACTTGCTGTCTACACGGCAGACCTTTGTGGAGCAGGATATTAATATAACAAATGAGA